AATTATTATTATTATTATTTTAAGTACCTACCTATAAACTGTAAATCAGAAAAAAGTATTTTGATTTTTAAAATAATGTGGTATGTTTTCTTGTAATATGGTATTGCATAAGTATAGAGAATATCTTTAGGAGAATTTTTATTTTTGTTTGCAGTGCTCGAGTGTGGATAGAAACTTGCAATAGACTCGATTTATTGCCTAGGATTGTGGATGTATATAAGAATTATAGGCTTTGTGAACACCATTTCGAAACCAAATATATTGGTAAAGGGAATGTAAGAATAACCTTATTGCCAAACGGAATACCTATACAGTTTCCTCAACTTAGAAATGGGCAAGAAGAGCTAGAGGCAAAAATTGTGGAAGATTGTCCCAAAGAAGTTATTGCATTGTCAGGTACCTATTTTTAAAAAACTATTTCAAATATTGCAGAAAAATATTATATCTGTTTAATAAAAATATTAGTTGTAAAACATCTTGTTTTATTTTTTTATATATTACACCTAATTTATCTACATTTTACCACAGTTATCCTTGTATTATATGAAAAATGTTTGATACTGATGCAGTTCGTTCAGTGTACATCTATTCAAAAGTGTAACTTCTCTCAGTGTAAACGATTATGTTTTCGTCAAATCGATCGACTCTAGCGTGACCACAAAACATCAAAGGAGCCGCCGATTCTGTCGGTTCTCGTTGGTATAGTGTTCTCTGGTAATGCTGCCAACCTGTACCTACAGAATTTCTCGCTTGGTGCCAACCTAAATTCGAGACCTCGGCCCATTTCCGAATGAACACATACATATACATGTGAACTCGGATACGTGTGTGTATGTATAGTATTAAAATACTTACTCAAATCAGTTCACAAGTGCTCCAAAATACATAAAGATAATGGTAATTTACCCGCTCCGAAAATTTTACCNTTTTTTTATATATTACACCTAATTTGTCTACATTTTACCACAGTTATCCTTGTATTATATGAAAAATGTTTGATACTGATGCAGTTCGTTCAGTGTACATCTATTCAAAAGTGTAACTTCTCTAAGTGTAAACGATTATGTTTTCGTCAAATCAATCGACTCTAGCGTGACCACAAAACATCAAAGGAGCCGCCGATTCTGTCGCTTCTCGTTGGTATAGTGTTCTCTGGTAATGCTGCCAACCTGTACCTACAGAATTTCTCGCTTGGTGCCAACCTAAATTCGAGGCATCGGCCAATTTCCGAATGGACACATACATATACATGTGAACCTGGATACGTGTGTGTATGTATATTATTAAAATACTTACTCAAATCAGTTCACAAGTGCTCCAAAATACATAAAGATAATGGTAATTTACCCGCTCCGAAAATTTTACGGAAAATTTCATTTTCAGCCAATTAAAGGCCTGTATTTTGTAGCGTTACTATAGCAACTAAGAAAATTTCCGGAAATTTTTCTCTTCCTTGGGGTAAGGAGCATGAAATTACACTGGAAATTTTATGACATTTATAAATAAAATGACATTTATATTTAACTTCAAATTTATTCTATCATAATTTAATAAGTACAAATCATTTATAAATAATTATTTACCAAGTATGTACTTTTAGTAGTTTTAATTAAAGCGTCGAAATGTTGCTGAAATTCCTCAGCCACGTCTTCTTTTCTTAATGGGGAATAAACAAGCACACATTCACTAAAATTTATAAAATGTCTATGTTTCAAAAAATAAATGTAGTACTTTGAAACAATCTTATTCTGCTGTGATCCACGAAGAGCTCCATATTTCTTACACACAAGAAGCAAATGATTTTTAATAATCCCAAACAAGTTTGGCGAATAAATTTCTGGCCCGCATTCTTGTAATAAATACATTAAAAATTTTAGGTTCCGATGATACATTTTAATTTCACTAACTTTTTTGCAAAACTTGCATAAAACGTATTTCTCAAACCGCTCCATTTTTCAATTGTACAACACAACGATTTTAAAGAAAATGGTCAAATAACGTCAAAAGTCACGATTACCTTGTCTGACATGGATTCAATGGCCTTCTTAATAATATATAATATGAATTTTATTGATATTACATAGTGCTTAAGGTTCTTTGTAAGAAAATATATTTCTACCAACTTTAGTAAAATGAGTATGTGGAAAACTGAGGGATTGATCTACTATCGATTTATTTTTTATTATTTTGCTTAAAGTCGGTTAGTTGTATTTTATTTAACCTAATGTTATACGTATGTAAGTTACTTTGACTATATATACTGCTTCAAGTTTTTTTTGCAATAAAATATATTTTTACCAACTTTAGTACACTAAATTTTTAGAAAACTGAAAGATTGAACTACTATCAACTTATTTTTTATTATTTTGTGTAACTAAAGTGAATTTTTTTTCTCATATTAAATGAATAATCTTCTAGAATACTTGCCAGTTCTTCAACAGGTAGCTTTTCCTGTATATTATAAGATTTTTCATTGCAAAATTCTAGAAACTGCTTCCAAATGCTTAACTTTGATTTTTTGGTATTATCTGGCATCAGATGTTGAATTTCTTTTTTTATTATGTCCTGGTTTTCTTCTCCAAAACGAGACATTTTTCGTAAAAAAAAACACTAAACTTTTCACTTTGACACCGTGCATATAAAATGACATTTGTTATCCTTTTTGAATTGACATACAAAGCCTACTGTCTCTTCAAAACAATCAAAAAATTTTAATATCTATATTTTTGTCGATATTTTTTAACACTTCATTGTGAAATTTTCTTACCGAATACCACTCTGGCTTCAATTAAAAACTGGAAATTTATTCTTGCACACGAATA